CCTTCCTTCCGAGAAGTGGCTGGTGGGTTTGAACTGCCAACCTTCTGGTTAGCAGTCAAGTGCCTTAGGCACTATGCCACCAGAGCTCCCAGGAAACCCTGTGGGGCAGTTTTATTCTGCCCTCTACGGTTGCTGTGAATCGGAATTGACTCATTGGCAGTAGGTTATTTTCAGGGGACACAATTCAATCTGTGAGAGTTCCTGAGGAAGATTGAGGGGTTAGGTAGGTGGGTATAATACATTTTAAAAATTCAAAAAGGTAGACTGGAGTCAGATTTTGGAGAGCTGCACTCCAATGAGTATGTTTGAGGAACATTCCATTGTGTCTCTTCCCTTTGAGCCAGTACTGTGTGTCTCATTCCTCTAGGTCAGCTGTTCTTAACCTTTTGGGGCCATCTATCTCTTTGCCAATTGTCCTCAAGAGAATTCTGAATGTATAAAACACGTAAGATACACAGGAAACCAGTACTTGGAAACACAGATCTACTCATGCACCTGTGAGGGCTAGTGGACTGTTTGCAGAGGGGTCTTCCGGGTACAGAGAACATGCTGTTCTAAGACAACCCAGGAATTGTTAAAGGAGGAGACAATATGTGGAATGAGGCTCTCCCAGGGAGGTGGATCATTCAATTGTACTTGAGGTTGGCCTTGCCTGAAGGGAAATCTGTGGTTGGCATTTCAGGAGTGCAGGCAGGAGGTGACTGTGGAAAGACTCACGTTTGGTTCTTTGGACTTGTGTATACCCTCTGGGCTGAGGCAGGGCAGAAGCTGTGTGCCCCAGTTGATGTCCATCCCCATTCTCAGGTCACCTTCCTTGTCAGACTCTTGGGACCCTCCCATCATGGCAAGTCTCACTCAACCTGTAAGGACAGTCTTCCCCCCTCTTTTTGGCAAGCTTTCTTAGGCCTTCACACTCTCTCTGAAACATGAATCCTTCCAGGAAGTTTTCTCTGGGTGTGAGTGGCTCTTTGCTTCTCCTCTTTCCTCAGTACCCCGTCAGCCCTTGAGTCCTCTGAGGTTTTCTCCCCCTCCTCCAACTCTGCCCAATCTCTCCAGACACTGGTGGGTCTGGACCCCACATTCAATCTGCCTTAACTCTGTCTTTTTCATGTTGACTTTCAGGTTTCACATGGGTTTGAAATTTTTATCCTGTTATGTGTTACTCTTTAATTGTTCAAAGTGTCATAAGTTGTTTTGAAATATCACTAGCTGTGGTTTTTTTTCCTTTTGCATTATTTTTTTCCCCTATGACTAAATTGGATAAACCTATTGCGGTAGTTATGTTTGTGTGTCAACTTGGCTGGGCCTGGTTGAGTGGCTGGGCAGCTGGTGTTGTTGTTGTTATTATGTGCCGTCGAGTCGGCCCCGACTCATAGCGACCCCTCCTTGGGTTTCCAAGGCAGTATCACTACGGAAGTAGGATTGTCCAACCTTCCCTCTGAGGAGTGGGGCAGCTGGTGTAGTATCCCCCATGATGAGACTGGTAATCAATTCTATGGTGGAATCTACTATGAGCAGCTGAGTAGCTGCCTTAGGGAATGTGGTCTGCTTCCTGTATAGAAGGAGAAGCCTTGGGGACTGGTCTCTAGCCTATGGCATGTTTGGACCCCACATGTAGCCATGTCATTCGTTGCTCAGCTATGCTCTGCTGACCTTGGAACTTACAATGGACTTAAGTTAATGGCCTGCCGTGTGGTTTGGTAACATCGGGACTGTGCCTTTTGACTTGTCAACCTTGGGGCTTCTCAGCCTCAGCAGCCAGCGGCTGTCTGAGTGAAGAAATGCCTCTAGTGCCAGTGGGCCGGGAGCAGGAGGCAGAGCTAGACCCCAAGGTTGAGGGGCTTTCACCCAGCCTCTAGAGACTGGCACTTTGAACTTGGACTTAAAGACTTCAAATTGTAAGAATAAACTCCTG